CAGCTACTCTGGACTCTCAGGCAAGAGAATCACTTAAGCCTAAGAGGAATGAGACTCTTTCTCAAGGAAAAAAAATTATGTCCTCTATTTTTAGAGGATTAAAATTTATCCTCTAAATTATTTACTCTTGAGTGGATAATAATAGAAGAGCAATAGTATTTCACTAGAGATTTACTTTGTTGTACTGACTTTGCAGGTAAGGAATACAGGATCAGGAAAAAATGATGACTTATTCAAGTTCCTTTTGCTTATTTGTGGCAAATATCTCAGCTCTTCTGACTGACTGTTCTATGATTATGAGCTTTGAACTAATCACAGAATATCTCTCCTTTAAAATAAACTTGAAGAAAAAAACTATTAGGGGCTACTATGTGTACTGTTCCAGTGACGGGTACACTAAAAACTCAGATATCACTACTATACAATTCATCCATGCAACCAAAAACCACTTGTACCCCTAAATATATGAAAATATAAAGTTTAACATTTATTTATTTATTTCTTAATTTCAGATCAATATGAGGGTACAAACAATTAGGTTATATTGTATGCATTTGTTAGGTAAAGTCCAAGTTGTATTTGAGCCCTTCACCCAGGAGGTATGCTTATGCCCTTACATTGTGTCCACTGGGTGAGAACACAACAAAAATTCTGAAGAATAGATTTTCTTAGAAACATTCAGTGTTAGAATATGCTAATATTTCCCTAAAGGGAAAGAAGCCAATGGCCTAGGGACAGCTAAAGGGCTAAGGAATTTCTACCCTAAAGAGCCGTACATTCCTTGGATTATGATAGTAAAATTCAAATTTATGGTAACATTGGTATTGATTCTAGGAACATCTTGAGAAAATTGTTTTCTGTTGGTGTATATAAAGGCTACTGATTTTTGTTTGTTGACTTTGTATCTTGCAATTTCACTGAATTTATTTATCAGTTCTAGTAGCTTTTTGGTGGAGTCTTTAGATTTAAGTAAAAGTCAAGGCTAATTTGACATCTTCTATTTGGATGCTTTTTATTTCTCTCTTGCCTAATTTCTCTGGCTTGGACTTCCAGTGTTATATTGAATAAAAGTGGTGAAAGTGAGCATCCTCGTCATGTACCAGATCTTAGAGAAAAGCCTTTCAATTTTACTCCATTCACTACCATGTTAACTCCCAGCTTGTCATGTATAGACTTTATGGCTTTGAAGTATTTTTCTTTTATACACAGTCTGTTGAGGGTTTTATCTTAAAAAGGATGTTGAATTTTATTTATTTATTTATTTAGACAGAGTCTCAGTTTCTTGCCCTTGCTAGAACGCTGTGGAGTCATAGCGCACCACAACCTAAAACTTTGGGGCTCAAGTGATTCTCTTGCCTCAACCTCCTGTATAGATGGGACTACAGGCACCCACCACAACGCCCAGCTATTTTTAGAGATGGGATCTTGCTCTAGCTCAAGCTGGTCTTGAACCTGTGAGCTCAGCCAGTCCACCCACCTCAGCCTCCCAGAGTGCTGAGATTACAGGCATTACAGGTGAGCCACCAAAGGATGTTGAATTTTATCAAATGTTTTTTCAGCAGGTCTTGAAAAACTTATATGGTTTTTGTTCTTGGTTCTGTTAATGTGGTGGATCATATTTATTGATTTACATATAATGAACCATCTTTACTTATATCTTAAAGGTGAAACACAATTGATAATGGTGAGTCATCTTTTTAATGTGTTATTGAATTCAGTTTGCCACTATTTTGTTAATGATTTTTGCATCTTTGTTCATCAGGAATAGTGTCCTGTACGTTAATTTTTTTTGTTCTGATCTTGTCTGGTTTGGGCATCTGGGTAATATTGACCTCCAAGAGTGAGTTTGAAAGTATTTCCTCCTCTTTAAAAGATTTGAGTAGAATTAATAATTAGTTTTTTAACTATTTGGTAGAATTCAGCAGTGATGTCATCAGGTCCTATGCATTTCTTTTTTTTTTTTTTTTT